CAGGGGAAAAAAGTCCCCAAGGAAGTGCTGGTTCTGGGCGAGGAGGCTTGCACCCAGAGGGCCAGAACCAGGCCCTCAAAAGCGCTCACAGGACCCTGGTGCACAGGAAGTCTGGGGGTGGGGCTGGGAGGGGAACAGAGGAAAGCGGATGACATTTATTGATTACGAAATAAATAGACCACTCTCAACTGAAATATGAGTTTAGGCCGGTGGTGCTCAGACATTCTTCAGAGTGAGCCAGAATTGTATTAATACTTACCTTCAGCAGGCAGAATTTTAAATTCGGAGAGGATAGTTTAGGGGTGGCACCCAGGGATCCACATGTTGGCACCCCAGGTGATCATAGAACATGTGGGAACTGAAGACAGAACCATTAGTGAACCCTTAAAACTCAATAAAGTCAGGTAAACAAAAACAAACTTCTCAGAATTAGCAATGTGTTTACCACAATATGCCCACTGTAATGAAAAAAATAAAAACAAAATAACCTTTGGTTTCAACCACTGAACTTCTCTGCCTCACTCTCTCCTAGGCTTCAGCAATGGGCCTGCGACAACAGAGAGCATGCTCAGCTGACTTCCAAAGTGAGAGGGGCCCAGCCTCCCTGTGAAATCTGAGTTGGGGAGCAGGCTCTCATAATAAGAATTTGGGACAGTTCCTCCGAGACTTTTTTCTTCTTCGTGGTGGTGGTGGTGGTGTGTGTGTCAGGAGTAGCCTTCTAACCAAGCTTACTCCCACTCTCCTCACAGACACCCTTCCACCCCCAACTCCATTTAAAACCCTCACTTTGTGTGAGGTTATACAGGGCTTGAACACTGAATACCTACCTCTCTGAGTATTAGCCATAGAATAGCAGAGCTTTGAGATTTGCTTTACTTCCTCTGAGGAGTTAGGTTCCACTTTGTAGTCCAGGTTTGTAATGTAAAGAATGATGTGAAACTGGTCTAATTACACCAAGTTGGCTGAGTTCATGGAGAGCAGAGGCCAGTTAGCCTCTTGCTCCTTTCTTTCCTCCAAAGTTGAGACCACTGACAATTATTAAAATTTCTTTCACTTTTCTCTGATGGCTTTAAAATTTTACAAAATTAATATATGCTTCTTCAAAATAGTCAACCTTTCCAGAAAGTTTTACAGAATAAAAGGTGGAACTTCATTCCCACCTCCAATCCCCAGTGGCAGCAGTTTGCTGTGTGTCTATTTTAAATTAAATTAGTTTATTGTTTGTTCTTTGAATGTGAGAGGTGAGCCTTTCATCTTAGGGTAACCTAAAACCCACCTGACCAATTTGATCAGCTTATTTTACTCTATTGTGATGATTACTTTAATATTTAAAGCACACTGATCTCTACCAGTGTGATCTTTCTGCTCGCAAACAATACACTCTAAAAGTATAGTTAATACCTGCGATAATTCTCAAAAGGTTTAAAAATCAATGTAAATGGAATTCCTTATATTTCACTATCAGAGAAACTTGTATTTCTGGAAGCTGCCTTTTGTTTCTTTTTTAACTTGTCTCTTTGTTCTGAACGAGAGCTTTCCAAATCTGTGGTCAATATTGGTCTCTAGAATGGTTTGCCTTGCTAATTTTTTAAAGCAAGTTCATACACCTCTTGCCTTCACATTATTATACACTCTTCTGGAATCATACGACAAAGATTTAATGACAAAGAACATTGAAGGATTTAAATCTAGTATACCTCTTTATATTTAGAGTAACTTACATAGTTATATTTATGTATAAATAGCCAGAAAATGCTTCTTGTTTCTTATAGTTCAATAGTTACTGTTTAGGCACTTCCAAAGAGTACCTGAATGGTTTGTCCAGTGGTTTGAACAAAGTAAAACAAGCTTTGGAATGTTACATTTCATTTTGACAGAGAAACAGGCAATGATTCCATTACTCAGTGAATTGTTACTTTTAACTTTGAACATCCTTTAGACCAGTGGTTCTCAACCTTTTGGCCCTTTAAATACAGTACCTCATGTTGTGACCCAACCATAAAATTATTTTCGTTGCTACTTCATAACTGTAATGTTGCTACTGTTATGAATTGTTATGTAAATATCTGATATGCAGGATGGTCTTAGGCGACCCCTGTGAAAGGGTCCTTTGACTGCCAAAGGGGTCGCGACCCACAGGTTGAGAACTGCTGCTTTAGACACAAAATTATTTTTTAAAACTTTCATAAATCTAAATTTTACTTTAAAACAAGAAGATACTTGTACACCGAAAGAATTCAGTTTAGAAAATCCTCAAATCTGGACTAATATAAAATCTTAAACATCTTATGGGACCAAAACTAAAATAATAACAAATGGTCTATTTCAGAAGGCTCAACAGATAGTTTCGGACACAATTGAAATCTAAACTGGGTGATAATGCTAAGGTTGTGGTCACTGCAATATATATATTGAGATTGGGTAAAATGTGTGTATTATGGGGGGTACTGAAGGCAAACAGAAGATTTAGACTGAAGCAAATTCATTTGAAAACAGCTAGTTTCAAATAACATTATAATTTCTCTCTGATGTTTTTACTACACAGTTTAAAAGATAATTTGGAAAACATGTACCTCAAACTGTAAAAGAATGTTTAAATGAGATCTTCTATGAAATTGTAAATTTCATGTTTTATACTTAACCTGTGGGCAATACAGTAGGGATGCTGGAGTGAGACCCAGATTTGAATCTGGCTCTTTGGCATTTAATATGACCTTGAGGGTACTGCTTAATCTCTAGGTGGAGGAAAGGAGGAGTTGTGGTAGTTACATGTTCCCTTTGAAGGAAATTATACCTATTTCACAGGGTTTTTGCAAGGCTTATGTGAATATTTTATGCAAAGTTCCTGATACTGTTATTGGCACATTAAGTACGCTCTCAATAAATGAAAGCTATTCTATCTAGCTACTATGACAACAGGGTTGGGGCTTGAGACACCCTATAACTAAACTGTAATCATTAGCAAGTAGAGATAAAATTGCCAGATAAAATACAGGAATTAGAGTTAACTTTGAATTTCAGATAAACAACATATAATTGTTTTAGTATAAGTATGTCCCATTCAATATCTGGGACATACTTATACTAAAAATTTTCCAGTATGTATCTGAAAATCAAATTTAACAGGGTATCTATCCTGTTTTTATTTGCCACCCTAGGTGTAGGAATAATAAGATACAGTCAAAAGGGACCTGTTGACAACCTCTAAATATTACCAGTGTTGTTCACCTCAAGGTGGCTGAGAGACCCCTTTGCTTACCAGTCACACAGCCAGTACACTCCTGCCATTAATGTCTGCCAGAGCAGCACTGTGTTCCTCTTACCAAGTTTCAAATTGTTGGTCTGGTCCTACCATTTAGTAGATAAATGCCTACTAGATTTTCTCTTAAAACAAACAAAAGCTCAGCCCCGGCTAAGTAGCTCAGTTGGTTGGAGCATTGACCCGATATGACACAGTTTTCAGTTCCATCCCTGGTCATGGCACAACCAATAAATGCATAAATAAATGGAACAAAAGGTCAATGTCTCTCTCTCTCTAAAAATCAATAAAAAATGTAAAGCTCTTTGGTAGATTTAACATAAAGAAAAAACAAAAGCTTAAATGGATGGGAAGATAAGGCTTATACAACATCAAACATTAGTGTACAAAATGAGAGTATGGAAGCATGTTAAACTGAGTGGTAAGGGTCTAAGTGCTAAAGGAGTTCAGAGTAAGGGGAGCTAATCAATGAAAACTAGACAAATGAGGAAGGAGGCTCTAGATCTGCAGCTTGAAAGAGGAGTAGGATTTGACGAGGCAATGGAAATCTGAACTTCCTGGCTCACTGGACTCCCTCCCCTGAGGTTGTTCCCATAGAAACACTTCATGACAGGTGAACTTGGCCTGTCAGAGGCTTGAGTCAATAATTGATAAATGCCATTTATTGTCTATTCACCTAGAACCTTCTGATACCCAGCAGCATAGACAATGCATGTGCAAGTCACTGTGAAGCCTTGTGATTTACTTCATTGACAACTTCCTTCTTTCCCCTAAGTTCAGGTTGTTCACAACAGGGGGCAAGGTTTAGGAGCATGTGGCCATGTCACCTTGTTACTTCTTGATTAGGCCATACTACCAGTATGAGACCGTGGCTGTTTGATTTCAGACCAAACAGATTCAGAGCCAGTGGTGCCTAAAGCACTTACTGAAATATGCATCATGGTCATTAGGACTTGACTCCGCCAGTAATTTAATCTCTTGTTGGGTATTAGGAGTCAGTATGGAAAGAGACCTGGTCAGTTTACTGAGTAGGGTATAGCCTAAAGGGTAACAGGTTTATATTTTAATGTCAGGTAACAAACAATTATTGAACCTGCATAGTGTGTGTGTGTGTGTGTGTGTGTGTGTGTGTGTGGCAGGGAGGGGGGGTGTTTGGGGAGTGGCAGTTTTTGGCAGGTGAAGTAGGAGACAACTGATGACATTGCTTGACCTTTTGGACTTCATGAAGTGGATAGATTCAAGACAGCTCATGCCTCTATGACAGACGAGCAATTGAGCTACATCAACAAGCACAAGATATCACAATGTAGGCAAGAGTACTGAAGATCTGTGGACTGGGTGGAGGGTGTTAGGCGTGGAATAATAGGCTTCCTTGTGTTGAATTTTGACCCATATTTTAAAAGAAAGCATTAGAAAAGGAGATGCTAGGATATTCCAAACTAGAAAGGGGTGGGCACTAAGGGATAGCATATGAAATGCAAATTAGAAGAATAATGATTTAAAAAACAAAATAATACAGATCTTTCATGTTCCAACAGCTATGGAAAAGAAGCACTTTATTCCAGGCCCTCCATACTACAGTAGACTCATTTTGTGTTATTACAAGTTTACCTCTCTGTCCTGCCCTGCCCTCAAACATTCTAATATGTTCACATGCACTGAAGAGAAAGGATTTTTAAAATACAGTGATTTTGCCCTGGCTGGTTTGGCTCAGTGAATAGTGTCGACCTGGGGACTAAAGGTCCTGGTTTCGATTCCGGTGAGGGGCACATGCCCGGGTTGTGGGCTTGGTCTCCCGTCGGGGACGTGCAGGAGGCAGCCAATCGGTGATTCTTTCTCATCATTGATGTTTCTCTTTCTCCCTTCCTCTCTGAAATCAATAAAAATATATTTAAAAAATAGTGATTTTAAAAAGTACAAAACCATATTTTTAAAAGTACAAAATCCACCATATGGTTTTGTACTTTTAAAAATCACTATTATTTTTTAGAAATCCTTTCTCATTAGTACATTCATTTTATCTGCTGCCTAATATTTCATGGTATGGATGTACATTGTTGATGATAGAAATTTAGTTTCTATAAATAAGGTCCCCAATTAAGATCATTGTACTGATGTGAGATTACAGCCAGAGGGGAATTATTTGAGCCAGACCAACATTGAAAACAGAAACTGATTTATAAATGCTTTCTAATGGTTGAGCTTTAAAAATATATCTATGGGAACATGGTGTAGTACTTGTTACATGTAACTAAAGTCCACAGGCATTCCTTATTTCCCTCCTTAGATTAGGGTGCTTCAGGACCCGTAGGGAGAAAGCAGCCTCAATTCCAGCATGTGGGGGCCACACAACAGGCTTTCATGCGGATCAGAAAAGTCCAGTCATTGCTTGGCCCAGCGTTCACCCCTCTGCACCTCATCCGTAAACGGAGCGTTTCCATTAAGGACAATTGCTCTGGCCCCGTTGCTGTCCTTAATTCTCCTCCGCGACACCGTTATTCAATTGCCGGCTGGAGAAGAGGCCACCACTGCGGACAGTGCTGTGGGAAGACGGCACCACTTTCCACAGGGAGAGGGCTCTTGCAAACACGCAATAAAGTGGGAAGCATTTCAAAGCCTGAAGGGGATGCCGCCGCAGCGCCGTGGCCCCTTCACCTGGCGGCGCAGAGCACCTGTTTTCCCAGTCTGGACATAAGGATGGAATTAGTCAGCCGGGAGGGCGGGGGCTGATCGAGTGCGGCTTTCAACAGCCCCAGGTTCATTTGTTTCCATTTGCTTTGAAAACAAGATAGAAGAGGCGCGCTTGAGCGTGGCAGGTGGATTTTACAATCCCAGTCCCGGATCTGTGGAAGCCGCGCCTCCCTCCTCCGCCGGCGCCCACCACGGGGTACCTGGAGCCGGAGCAGCTCCAGGCCAGCCTCTGGAGTTCAATGTCTGTCCAGCCCCGGGAGAGGGACTCCTGCTGTGTGGTCTGCACGCGCGCCACTTGGCAAGAACGTGTTGTGCGTGTGGAAAAGCAGAAGCAAAAAGCGGAATATGAATGGTTGGTGATCAGTCAGGGGCTGTGGAGTTCACCCCATGAATCCGCCGGAAGAGCAGGAGGAGAGCGGGGCGGGGACAGGGACCCCCCCTACTAGGGGAACCCGGACCCCCCCCCCC